GAGCCCATGGCAGCTCAGCATAGCCACTGCAGGCAAGCAGTGATTAGACTGCCCCCTTGCTGGGCAGGACAGTGCAATGGTTACTCATAAATGGAGCCCTAACTCCCTGGGACAGAGCACTGAAGGAAAAAAAAAGGGGCTTTATGAGTTCTGCTGCAGCCGACTTAAACGTACCTGCCTAGCAGCCCTGAATGAACACCGGAGCTCACAGCTCAGCACTTGAGCTCCTATAAAGTACAGTCAGTCTCCTCAAGCAGATCCCTGACCCCTGTATATACAAAGAGTCACCTCAAAAAGGACTGATCAGACTGACATTTGACAGGCATCATTCAGGGACAAAGACAGCAGAAGAAGAATCTAGTAGCAACCCTCATGTTTCCGCAGCTGCTATAGGAGTTCCCCAGGCAAGCAGGGCCTGGAGTGGACCTCAGCAGTCCTACAGCAGTGGGGCCAGACTGTTAGAAGGAAAACTAAGAAACAGAAATACTCCATCATCAACAATCTGGACATCCACTCAGAGACCCAATCGGAAAATCAGCAACCACTCAGATGACAGGTGGATAAATCCACAAAGATGGGAAGAAACCAGCGCAAAAAGGAGGAAAACACCTGAAACCAGAACACCTCGCCTCCTATAAAGGACCAAAACTCCTCACCAGCAAGGGAACAAAGCTGGACAGAGAATGAGTGTGACGAAATGATGCAATCAGACTTCAGAAGGTGGGTAATGAGAAACTTTAATGAGCTAAAAGAACATGTTCTAAATCAATGCAAAGAAACTAAGAACCTTGAAAAAAGATTTGAGGAAATGATAACAAGAAGGGACAACTTAGAGAGGAATGAGTGAATTGAAAGAGCTGAAAAACACAACACGAGAACTTCACGAAGCATGCACAAGTTTCAACAGCCGAATTGACCAAGCAGAACAAAGGATATCAGAAGTCAAAGATCAACTCAATGACATAAAACGAGAAGCCAAGATTAGAGAAAAGAGTGCAAAAAGGAATGAACAAAGCCTCCAAGAAATGTGGGACTATGTGAAGAGACCTAATCTATGTTTGATAGGTGTACCTGAATGTGATGAAGAGAATGAATCCAAGCTGGAAAATACTGTTCAGGATATTATCCAGGAAAATTTCCCCAACCTAGCAAGGCAGGCCAATATTCAAGTCCAGGAAATACAGAGAACACCACAAAGATATTCCGCAAGAAGAGCAACCCCAAGGCACATATTCGTCAGATTCACCAGGGTTGAAATGAAGGAGAAAATGCTAAGGGCAGCCAGAGAGAAAGGTCGGGTCACCCACAAAGGGAAGCCCATCAGACTCACAGCAGATCTCTCAGCAGAAACCCTACAAGCCAGAAGAGAGTGGGGGCCAATATTCAACATCCTTAAAGAAAAGAACTTTCAACCCAGAATTTCATATCCAGCCAAACTGAGCTTCATAAGTGAAGGAAAAATAAAATCCTTTGCAAACAAACAAGTACTCAGAGAGTTTGTCACCACCAGGCCTGCTTTACAAGAGCTCCTGAAAGAGGCACTACACATAGAAAGGAACAACTAGTACCAGCCATTCTAAAAACATACCAAATGCTAAAGAGCAACAAAATGAAGAATCCACATCAACTAATGGGCAAAACAACAAGCTAGCATCAAAATAGCAGTATCAAATTCACACATAACAATATTAACCCTAAATGTAAATGGGCTAAATGCACCAATCAAAAGACACAGACTGGCAAATTGGATAAAAAGCCAAAACCCATCTGTGTGCTGTATCCAGAAAACCCATCTCACAGGCAAGGATGCACAAAGCCTAAAAGTAAAGGGATGGAGGAAGATTTACCAAGCAAATGGAGAGCAAAAAAAAGCAGGAGTTGCAACGCTCATCTCTGATAAAATAGACTTTAAAGCAACAAAGATTGAAAGAGACAAAGAAGGACATTACATAATGGTAAAAGGACCAATACAACAAGAAGAGCTAACGATCCTAAATATATATAGACCCAATACAGGAGCACCCAGATATATAAGGCAACTTCTTAATGACTTAGAAAGAGACTTAGACTCCCACACAATAATAGTGGGAGACTTTAACACTCCACTGTCAATATTAGACAGATCCACCAGACAGAAAATTAACAAGGATATCCAGGACTTGAACTCAGACCTGGAACAGGCAAACCTGATAGACATTTACAGAACTCTCCACCCCAAATCCACAGAATATACATTCTTCTCAGCATCACATCACACCTACTCTAAAACGACCAGTAAAGCACTCCTCAGCAAACGCAAAACAACTGAAATCATAACAGTCTCTCAGACCATAGTGCAATCAAGTTAGAACTCAGAATTCAGAAACTAACTCAGAACTGCACAGCTTCTTGGAAACTGAACAACTGGCTCTTGAATGTTGATTGGATAAACAATGAGATGAAGGCAGAAATAAAGAAGTTATTTGAAACCAACGAGAACGAAGACACAACATACCAGAATCTCTGGGACACATTTAAAGCAGTCTCTAGAGGAAAATATAGAGCAGTAAGTGCCCATATGAGAAGAGTGGAGAGATCCAAAATTGACACCCTATCATCAAAATTGAAAGAGCTAGAGGAGCAAGATCAAAAAAACTCAAAACCTAGCAGAAGACAAGAAATAACTAAGATCAGAGCAGAACTGACGGAGATAGAGACACAAAAAACCCTTCAAAAAAATCAATAAATCCAAGAGCTGGTTTTTTGAAAAGATCAACAAAATAGACAGACCACTAGCCAGAACGATAAAAAAGAAAAGAGAGAATAACCAAATAGATGCAATAAAAAACGATAAAGGGGAAATCACCACAGATTCCACAGAAATTCAAACCATCATCAGAGAATATTACAAACAACTCTATGCACATAAACTAGTAAACCTGGAAGAAATGGATAAATTCCTGGACTCCTGTGTCCTCCCAAGCCTAAACCAGGAGGAAGCCGAAACTATGAATAGACCAATAACAAGGTCTGAAGTTGAGGCAGCAATTAAGAGCCTACCACACAAAAAAAAACCCAGGTCCAGATGGGTTCACAGCCAAATTCTACCAGACACACAAAGAGGAGCTGGTACCATTCCCTCTGAAACTATTCCAAATAATCCAAAATGAGGGGATCCTTCCCAAATCATTTTATGGGACCAATATCATCCTGATACCAAAACCCGGCAGAGACCCAACAAGAAAAGAAAACTTCAGGCCAATATCCATGATGAACATAGATGCAAAAATCTTCAATAAAACACTGGCAAGCCAATTGCAACAGCACATCAAAAAGCTTATCCATCATGATCAAGTAGGATTCATCCTGGGGATGCAAGGCTGGTTCAACATATGCAAGTCTATAAACGTAATTCACCACGTAAACAGAACCAAAAACAAAAACCACATGATTATCTCAATTGATGCAGAGAAGGCCTTTGACAAAATTCACAGCCCTTTATGCTAAAAACCGTCAATAAACTCGGTATTGATGGAACATATCTCAAAATAATAAAAGCTATTTATGACAAACCAACAGCCAATATCATACTGAATGGGCAAAAACTGGAAGCATTTCCTTTGAAATCTGGCACTAGACAAGGATGCCCTCTCTCACCACTCCTATTCAATATAGTACTGGAAGTTCTAGCCAGAGCAATCAGGCAAGAAAAAGAAATAAAGGGTATTCAAATAGGAAAGGAGGAAGCCAAATTGTCTCTATTTGCAGACGACATAATAGTATATCTAGAAGACCCCATCGCCTCAGCCCAAAAACTCCTGAAACTGATAAGCAACTTCAGCAAAGTCTCAGCATAAAAAATCAAGGTGCAAAAATGACAAGCATTCCTATACACCAATAACAGACTGAAAGAGAGCCAAATCAAGAATGAACTGCCATTCACAATTGCTACAAAGAGAATAAAATACCTAGGAATACAACTTACAAGGAAAGTAAGGGACCTCTTCAAGAAAAACTACAAACCACTGCTCAACGAAATCAGAGAGGACACAAACAGATGGAGAAACATTCCATGTTCGTGGTTAGGAATAATCAATATCGCGAAAATGGCCATACTGCCCAAAGTAATTTACAGACTCAATGCTATCCCCATCAAGCTACCATTGACTTTCTTCACAGAACTGGAAAAAACCACCATGAACTTCATATGGAACCAAAAGAGAGCCCACATAGCCAAGTCAATTCTAAGCAAAAAGGACACAGCAGGAGGCATCACACTACCAGACTTCAAACTATACTACAAGGCTACAGTAATCAAAACAGCATGGTACTGGTACCAAAACAGAGATATAGACCAATGGAACAGAACAGAGGCATCGGACGCAACACAACATATCTACAATCATACAATCTTTGATAAACCTGACAATAACAAGCAATGGAGAAATGACTCCCTATTTAATAAATGGTGTTGGGAAAACTGGCTAGCCATGTACAGAAAGCAGAAACTGGACCCCTTCCTGACACCTTACACTAAAATTAACTCCAGATGGATTAAAGACTTAAACAAAGACCCGGCACCATAAAAACCCTAGAAGAAAATCTAGGCAAAACCATTCAGGACATAGGAGTAGGCAAGGACTTCATGAACAAAACACCAAAAGCATTGGCAACTAAAGCCAAAATAGACAAATGGGACCTAATCAAACTCCACAGCTTCTGCACGGCAAAAGAAACAGTCACTAGAGTGAATCGGCAACCAACAGAATGGGAAAAAATCTTTGCAGTTTACCCATCTGACAAAGGGCTGATATCCAGAATTTACAAAGAACTAAAACAGATTTATAAGAACAAAACAAACAAGCCCATTCAAAAATGGGCAAAGGATATGAACAGACACTTTACAAAAGAAGACATACATGAGGCCAACAAACATATGAAAAAATGCTCATCATCACTGGTCATTAGAGAGATGCAAATCAAAACCACATTGAGATACCACCTCAAGCCAGTTAGAGTGGCGATCATTAGGAGCAGTGTGAAGAAGAGGAGGCGAGAACGACCCCCGGACCGACCGAAGCCCATGCGCCGCTGCATCCCGCGCCCAGCGCCTACGTCCCGCCGCCGTCGCCACCATGCCCAAGAGAAAGGCTGAAGGGGATGCTAAAGGAGATAAAGCCAAGGTGAAGGACAAACCACAGAGAAGATCCGCGAGGTTGTCCGCTAAACCTGCTCCTCCAAAGCCAGAGCCCAAGCCTAAAAAGGCCCCTGCAAAGAAGGGAGAGAAGGTACCCAAAGGGAAAAAGGGAAAAGCTGATGCTGGCAAGGAAGGGAATAACCCTGCAGAAAACGGAGATGCCAAAACAGACCAGGCACAGAAAGCCGAAGGTGCTGGAGATGCCAAGTGAAGTGTGTGCATTTTTGATAACTGTGTACTTCTGGTGACTGTACAGTTTGAAATACTATTTTTTATCAAGTTTTATAAAAATGCAGAATTTTGTTTTACCTTTTCTTTTTTTTTTTTTTTTTTTTTTTTTTTTAAGCTATGTTGTTAGCACAGAGAACACTTCATTGTTGTTTTGGGAGAAGGGGCATATGTCACTAACAGAATGTCTCCAAAGCTGGATTGATGTGGGGAAACGACTTTCCCTTCTAGTTTTGAGAGACTTCCTCTTGGCTCCCAGGAGGAGGGATTCCCTGACTTTGACACACATGGCCACCTTGGCACACAAAAGCCTTGTGGTATGGAAAAACAAATTCGCTTTTATGTCCTCTTCTCCCTTTCCGTCTTTCAGCATAGACTTAACTCCCTTAAGTCCAGGCATCTGTTGGGACCTGACCCCCAGTCATTGGTTACCAGTGTGTCAGGCAATCTGGTCTTGCCAGTGATGCCATTGAGATGGCACCTGTCAAAAGAGCAGTGATTCCATTTCTAGATTGTGGATCTTCAGATAAATTCTGCCATTTTCATTTCACTTCCTGAAAGTCAGGGTCGGCTCGTGAAAAGTTGTTAAACAACATGCTAAATGTGAAATGTCAACCCTCACTCTAAACTTTCCCTGTTCAGAGCATCAGATGAAGACTTCATTGGGTTTTATAGTGGCTTTCTGATTTTTGGTAGTCCATCAAAGAAGGGAGTTTGAAAGTTGTTGTATACTGTTAATGATTGTCTGCCCATGTCCTGCCTGAAATACCATGATTGTTTATGAAAAGTATCTTTAATAAAGCTGGATACAGTTTGGCTTGGGGAAAAAAAAAAAAGAATGGCGATCATTAAAAAATCTGGAGACAACAGATGCTGGAGAGGATGTGGAGAAATAGGAACACTTCTACACTGCTGGTGGGAGTGTAAATTAGTTCAACCATTGTGGAAGACAGTGTGGCGATTCCTCAAGGACCTAGAAATAGAAATTCCATTTGACCCAGCAATCCCATTACTGGGTATATATCCAAAGGACTATAAATCGTTCTAATATAAGGACACATGCACACAAATGTTCACTGCAGCACTGTTTACAAGAGCAAAGACCTGGAACCAACCCAAATGCCCATCAAGGATAGACTGGACTGGGAAAATGTGGCAAATATACACCATGGAATATTATGCAGCAATAAAAAATGATGAGTTCCTGTCCTTTGTGATGAATCTGGAGAACATCATTCTCAGCAAACTGACACAAAAACAGAAAATGAAATACCTCATATTCTCACTCATAGGCGGGTGATGAACAATGAGAACACATGGACACAGGGAAGGGAGCACTACACACTGGGATCTATTGGGGGGAATAGCAGAGGGACAGCGAGTTGGGGAGCTGGGGAGAGATAGCATCGGGAGAAATGCCAAATATGAGTGAAGAGGAGGAAGGCAGCAAACCGCACTGCCACATGTGTACCTATGCAACTATCTTGCATGTTCTGCACATGTACCCCAAAACCTAAAATGCAATAAAAAAAATAAATAAAAACTTTAAAATTATAGATTAAATTTCTTTAATGGCTATAGCACTATCTGGCTAGTTAATTTCATTTTGGTTGTATTTTGGTAATTAGTGTTTTTTGAGGAATTGATCCATTCTCAGTTTTTGAATTTCTGAGCTATAAAGTTGTTACAGTAATCCTTTGATCCCTTTGATGGAAATACTATACTAGTGATATCTCTTTTTGATATTCTTGATTTGTATCACCTCTCTTTTTATCTTTGTTAGTCTTCCTAGGAGTTTATTAATTTTATTGTTTTTAAAAAGAACCAATTTTTTGTTTCACTGATCTTTATCATTTTCCTGTTTTTAATTTTATTTATTTCTGCTTATCTTTATGCATTTGTCCTTCTGCTTGCTTTAGGATTATTTTGCTCGTTTTGGTAGTTTTTAGAGGTAGGAACTTGAAGAGTTGATTTGAGATCTTTCATTTTTATCATATGCATTTATTGCTAAAACTTATTCTCTCAGCACTGCTTTAACTGTATCCCACATAATTTTATTTTTTAATTTAATTAATTAATTTATTTATTTATTTACTTTTGAAATGGAGTCTTACTCTGTCACTCAGGTTAGAGTACAGTGGTGTGGTTTCAACTCACTGCAATCTCTGCCTCCCGGGTTCAAGCGATTCTCCTGCCTCAGCCTCCTGAGAAGCTGAGATTACAGGTGCACTCCACCATATTTGGCTAATTTTTGTATTTTTAGTAGAGATGGGGTTTCGCCATGTTGATCAGGCTGGTCTTGAACCCCTGACCTCAGGTGATCTGCCCTCCTTGGTCTCCCAAAGTGCAGGATTACAGGTGTGAGCCACCGTGCCTGGCCACCACCTGATTTTACATGTTACCAGTTTTACTTTCATTCTAGGGATTTTTTTAAATTTCACTTAATACTTCCTCTTTGACATGCAGATTGTTTAGAAGTGTCTGATTTAGTTTTAAAGTGTTTAGAGGTTTTCATGTTCTCTTCCTGTTACTGATATCTAGTTTATGATACGTTTATAGTCATAGAAGATGCTTTGTATAATTTCAATTATTTTAAATTTGTTGAGATTTGTTTTATGGCCCACGATTTGGTCCATCTTTCTGGATTCTATTTTGTTTTATTTATACAATCTTTTAGTATATTGCTTTGTATGTCTTTTGCTTGTGGTTTCTCTGAATATTACAATGCATGTGTAACATATCGCAGTTTACTGGCATTGATGTTTTACAAATAAATGATGCGTACTTTCATTAGTTCCCTTAATCCTACACTTAAAACATTAATTAGATTTATTCCTTTAAAAGTTTTTATATTTCTATCATGGTGAAATACATACAACATAAAATGTATCATATTAGCAATTTTTAGGGGTATAGTTCAGTGGTATTAAATATATTTGTAATGTTGTACAACCATAACCAGCATTGTTTTCAGAACTTTTCATCTGTAAAACTGAAACTATATGCCTATTAAACAATAATTCCCCATTTTCCCCTTCCTCTAGGCCCCTAGCAACCACCATTCTATTCTGTCTCTATGAGTCTGACCATAACTGAAGTGGAATCACATAGTGTTTATCCTTTTGGATTGGCTTATTTCATCAGCATAATGTTTTTGAGGTTCATCCATTTTGAAGCATATGTCAAAAATTTTTTCCTTTTTATGGCTGAATCATATTTCATTATATGTATATACCATATTTTGCTTCTTCATTCATCTGTTGGATAGCAACTTGGGTTGCTTCCATGTCTTAACTATTGTGAATAATGCTGTGAACAGGAGAGTCAAATGTCTCCCAGAGCTCCTGCTTTCAATTTTTTGGCCATAAACTCAGAGGTGGAATTGCTGGATCATATGGTAATTCTATTCGTAATTTTTTGAGCAATCACCATAGTGTTTTCTACAGTGGCTGTACCACTTTGTATTCCCACTAATGGCGCACAAGATTTCCAATTTCTTCCCATCCTTACCAGCAGTTATTTTCTTTCTTTCTTTTTTTTAAGATAGTAGCCATTCCAATGACTGTGATAATTCTATTTCTTGTCAGTTATTTGAATTCAAAATCACCTAAGTTAAAGGAGGCCTACTGATGCATGCACAGATTTCATTTTTAAAACAGAAAGATAATTCTAATATTCTGGCATAACTAAATTTTACCTAGTTTACTCTGAAATGGCTTTACCATCGAAAAGTGATAGTTTTTAAAAACTGGTAGAATCCTGGAAACAATTTTAAAATAAATATTTAATTTTAGAACTCTTTTAGACTTGCAGAAAAACTATGAAGATGTTATGGCCCTGTTATAAACATCTAATATTAATATAGTACATTTGTTACAATTAATAAACCAACATTGATACATTATTATTAACAAAAGTCTGTGCTTTATTCAGATTACCTTCATTTTAACCTAATGTTTATTTTCTGTTCAAGGATCCTAAACAGAATTTCGCATTACATTTAGGAACTATGGGGGGGGGTGAACAGTGTCCCCCAAAATTCATGCCCACCCTCAAGTTCATAATTTGACCTTATTTGGAAATAGGGTATTTGCAGATGTAATTAAAGACTGTAAGGTTAAATAATCCTGGATTTAGGGGCACCTAAAATGAGTAAAGATGATGTGACGATGGCAGAAGAGATGGAAATGATGTGTCTCAAGCACTGGAATTCCAGGATTGCTGGCAACCACCAAAAGGCATGAGAGAGGCATGGTAGAGTTTCTCCCCCTGAGCCTTTAGAAGGAATTAACCCTGCTGACATCTTTATTTCAGACTTCTGGACTCCTGAACTGTGAGAGAATACATTTCCACCTTTTAAGCTGCCGATTTGTGGTGATTTGTTATGGCAGCACTGGGAAACTAATATAGTGGTCGTGTCTCCTGTGACTGCTCTAATAGTTTCCCATAGTTGCCTTAGTTTGGATGACCTGAACAGTTTCAAGGAGTACTGCTCAGGTATTTTGTAGAACGTTCCTCAGTTAGGATTTTTCTGATGTTTTTCTCACGTTCAGATTGGAATTATGTGTTCTTGGGAGAAAGACCACAGAGATAAAGGACTGTTTTTATCGTATCTTATCAACCGTGTACCTTGATGCTATCACCATACTATCAACACGACTCATCACTGTTAATGTTAACCTGATCACCTAATTGAGGTCATATTTCTTGACTGTAAAGTTGCCTTTTCCCTTTTTACACACTGTATTTTTTGGAAGGAAGTGATTCTGCACAGATCACATTTAGGGAGTGGGGGTGTGCCACCATTTTAAAATGTAATTGTCTTAAGTGTGTCCTCTACATACACTGAGCAATTTATCAGGTGATGTAATTTTTGCTTCTATCACCAAATGTGATTTTAAAAATGCATGAGAAGTAGGATAGTTTATAGCCCTGTTTTTACCCAATCGGTGTTCTCCTGGCCTTTCTGATGTTCTAAGCCTTGTTATAATTTCCTTTCTGTTTAAAGAACTTCCTTCAGGCATCCCTTATGGGTCAGTTTGTTAGCAACAAATCTTTTAGTTTTCCTTCATCTGAGAGTGTCTTTATTTCTCTCTCATTTCCAGAAGGACATTTTTGGTGAATACAAAATTCATAGTTGATAATTCTTTCCTTTAAGTACTTGTCAAATGTTTTGTCACTTCCTTCCAGCCTTCATGGCTTCAGATGAGAAATCTCCTGTAATTTGAATTAGTGTCCCCATATTAAAAACATCATTTCTCGCTGGATGCTTTCAAGAATTTTTCTTTGTCTCTGATTTGTACAAGTTTAATCGTACTATTTTGGCTTAGATTTATTTGGTTTATCCCATTTGGGTTCACTCAGTTTCATGTCTTTTCCTAATTGGGGATGCATTTTTGTCATCATTTATTCAAATATTCTTTCAGTCTCAATCTGTGTTTCCTCTTCTTTTGGGACTTTGGTTGTATGACATTTAGCTCACTTGTTAGACTTCCATGTTCATTTTTTTTTCCTGTTTATTTCCTCTCTCTGCTGCTCATAATCAATAAACTCTATTGATATGTCCTCAAGTTTGCTAATTCTATCCTCTGTTATCTTCACCCTACCACTGAGCCCACTCAGCAAGTTTTTTACCTCAGTTTTTCATTTTCCAGTTCTGTAATTTCCATTTGTTCTGGTATTTCTTTGCTGATATTTTCTACTTTTTCATTTGTTTCAGGAGAATTCATAATTGCTTGTGGAAGTATTTTTTGTTATAGTTGTTATAAAATTCTTGTCAGAAAATTCTAAAATTTGATTAAGTGTTGATATCATGGTTTGAT